GCTTTCCATTGATGTATGGTTTGTTAGGATAGGACAATATTTGGCTGAGATACAACTATTTGAAAATCTGGAATCTAAGGGTGCAAAAAAAACAATCTAAATATTGAGAAAATTGCCTTTAAAGTTGTCCGAATAAAGTCCTTAGCAATGCATATTACTAATCAAAAATTAAGTTTTGATGTATTTACGGTAGGAAATTTACAAAATATCTTCATAGAACATGATCTTTACTTAATATCCTAATGATTTTTGGCATAAAAGAAAAATGTATAATTTTGACCCATACAATGTATTGTTGGCTATTGCTACAAATATACCCCAGCGACTTAAGACTGCTTTTGTGCGTCAGCTCTGCATACAAACACAGTTTGAGCAAACCAGAGCCATCAGTTTCTGTGTGCATCTGTGATTGTTTTCAGGGAGAAGCTGAGAGCGGAGCTGAAGTCCTCCGAGCTGGACAAACAGACGCTGGAGTCTAAGCTGACCTCCTTCCAGATCTACGGCCAGGACTTTGAGGCTCTCGCTGAGGAATATTCCAGACTCCGGCGGGAGATCGCCACGAAATCCTGGGCGCTGAAGGAGTTCTCCGCGTGAATCACACTGAAGCTAGTCAGATCTCTCATCAGTTCTGTCCTCTAATTCATCCTGCTTTTGAATTCATTTGTTATTCTTGATTGTTTAATATCATTTTACTAATTAACCAGTCTAAATCAACAAGTCCAGGTGTAGTCAAAACTGACTGTCAGCTGCTGTATTAATAAATAAGTCAAATTTGATTTGTTTTCTTGATGTTATTATCATTATTTTACTGATATCTGGCTTCAACATTGTATACATAACTTTTGAAAATGTGTAAATATATCAAAACTTAATTTTTGATTAGTAATATGCATTGCTAAGAACTTCATTTGAACAACTTTAAAGATGATTTTCTCAATATTTAGATTTTTTTGCACCCTCAGATTCCAGATTTTCAAATAGTTGTATCTCGGCCAAATATTGTCCTATCCTAACAAACCATACATCAATGGAAAGATTATTTATTCAGCTTTCAGATGATGCATACATCTCAATTTTGAAAAATTGACCCTTAAGACTGGTTTTGTGCTCCAGGGTCACAAATGTAAATGAAAACAATAAGGAATTTTAAGACTGTATATTTTTCTAGTAATATTCAGGTCTACAATATTTCATTTGTTTGTCGATCTATTAAATTATTTGTAAAACTGATTATTTGGTTTTCACAAACAGCTGAAAAAGTCATAAATATGTATTGTTCAGAAACTATTCAAAGTAATTTCCTCTCACTATCGACTGTCCTGTCGAATAAAAAAGCACAAACTACAGTTTATTTTATTATAGCGACAGCTCAAACAGGGCTTTTATTGTGCGTCTTCACATTATACATGTTTTCTTTAAATTATTTGGTCATCTTTATTTTAGTTCTACCCAGTGTTTTCCTGAGAGAGTCAGAAAGCATGTAAAAAAAAAGTTAAAAGCATTAAATTGTTTACAAAAATGTACAGACTTTTCAAACATAATGTTGTTTTTTGGTATTGCTAAACTGCAAAATTAAAAACAAAGGCTTATTTCCCCATTCTTACATTTATACTAAATTTAGATCATAAAAGTAGCCTATTAATTAAATAATATTCCCTGTCATAAAAGACATATAAGTGGAAAAAATGAGACTACAAAGGACAAAGCATGTAAACCACAAAATATAGCAATGTCACAATTAAATTTTAATTTGTTACATTTTGTTTGTGATTAAATATTTATAATGGAGTTTCCGAATTTTATTAGTCAACACAGCAGCAGCCATTGCAAAAACACTTCAAAATCAGCAGCTTTTAATTTAGTACAGTTAAAGCTGAACTTTGAAGCTTGAATCATATTTTTTTTTTTTTAAATCTGTTTATTGAACTTTTACAATAATAACAGGATACAGATACAGGAGAATCATGAAAAAATAGTTTCACCCCCCCCAAAGAAAAGAGAAAAAAAACAACAACAACAAAAAACACTATTAAAGTATAATTAAACAAACTAAATAAAACATAAAAAATTTAAACTCAATACATATTGTAAATCAACACAGCAGCAGCCATTGCAAAAACACTTCAAAATCAGCAGCTTTTAATTTAGTACAGTTAAAGCTGAACTTTGAAGCTTGAATCATATTTTTTTTTTTTTAAATCTGTTTATTGAACTTTTACAATAATAACAGGATACAGATACAGGAGAATCATGAAAAAATAGTTTCACCCCCCCCAAAGAAAAGAGAAAAAAAACAACAACAACAAAAAACACTGTATTAAAGTATAATTAAACAAACTAAATAAAACATAAAAAATTAAAACTCAATACATATTGTAAAACAAAGAACGTCAAGCCTAATGTCTCGAGTATAGAATATATGTTGGAGCATTAAAGTTTAGACATTTCGACCATTTGAATCATACATTTTTATCTGATCTAAATGTCTAGATATCAAATTCTGAGACGCAGAAGTCAGTCGTGATGTAATATGTGGCGTATGTGCGTCTGGCCGCTAGAGGGCGCTGTGTGCGCCGAGCTGCGCATGCGCAGTGTGCTTTGTGTACTTTCATGTTGATTCGGCTCTTGTCAGGACGCTCCGCGTTTTAATCCGCAACCATGAGCTTTTATTTACTGGAGATTTCAATAACACGAGCAGCGTTTTAAATGTAGACAGACTGAGCTTCTTTATTTTCCGGTCCAATCGGATTATCGACGCTTTGTTCAGTGCGCAGTATGTCTGAATGCATTAATGTGCGTCAAATCATAGCTTTTTATTTTATAATGTTACGAGGGATACTGTAACTGTCAAGGTGAGAAACATCGTTTTCATTCAGTGACGTCACGCCGGACTCGCTGGGCTGTATTATTATTAAGTTACAGTACATACCGGGGCTAGTTGTCACATGGTTTGTATCTAAGAGCATGTTATATATACATGCATATATATATATATATGAGAATATTCTCTAAAATATATAGTGTGACAGCTAGCCCCGGTGTCCCCTGCACTTTCATGTGTGACAGTCTCAGGTCCAGAGAGTAATAATGCTGGTGTTTCATTGCTCTTTCTCCAGAGGTACTCTGTTTATGAGGAACCATAAACACTCAAAGTGTGCAGCAGCATTTGAAGTCTGTGAATAAGGTGAGACGTGCATTTTTACTTTGAGTCGTTTCTACAGAAGATCCACTAATCTTGTTTTCTCTTCTCATGCGCTCATGTTGTTCTCAGATCAGCATGACCCTGGCGTTGACCCCTGCGGCCGTGTGCCAGTGCTTCACGCTCGTGTCGCTGTGCACGTCTATCGCAGATCCCAACTGGATCCAGGTCCAGAACTGCTCTGATTCGAGCAGCAAACTCATCTACGGTGTGGCCTTCACACTGCACGCCTATCAGAATCTCACAGACACAGGTGTGATCTTATAGCTCTGTTTATTACTGTGAACACCTGCAGTCCATCCGAGATCAGGATGAGTTTGTTTCTTCATCAGGTTTGTAGAAATGTAGCATTGCATCAGTGTCTCAGCAATGGATGCTCTGCAGTGAATGGGTGCCGTCAGATTGAGAGTCCAAACAGCTGATAAAAACATCACAATAATCCACAGCACTCCAGTCCATCAGTTAACATCTGGAGAAGACAAAAGCTGAAACACATCCAGCATTAAGACGATTTTAACTAAAATATGAGTCCATAATAACGCTTTGGTCTGGTGTTAATCAGGAGAGAAATCTGCACCGTTTAAACAGCTCTAAACAAATATGTGGCTGGATTTTGATGCGAGAGACAACAGCAGATGCACTTTTTCACTGAAGGAAGCGTTATTATGGATTATGGAGTCGTGTTTTAGTTAAAAGCGCCTTAATGCTGGATTTGTTTCAGCTTTTGTCTTCTCCAGATGTTAACTGATGGGCTGGAGTGGTGTGGATTAGTGGGATGTTTTTATCAGCTGTTTGGACTCTCATTCTGACGGCACCCATTCACTGCAGAGCATCCACTGGTGCAACAAGAAACAAACTCACATCTTCGGAGGCCTGAGGGTGAGCACATTTACAGTACATTTAAATTTTGTAATGAACTATTCTTTTAAACCTTTATTTTACCAAGTTAGTCTTTTGAAATCAAAATCTGTTTTTCAAGAGTGGCCTGGCCAAAACAACAGCATAAAGCAACAACAAACATAAAATAAATGTGACAAACTATACATAAAACATTGACTAAACATGAAGGCGATAAATGCAATGCTCTGCATGCAGTAACAGCAGTGAAGGGTTTTGTCTGGTGTAGGTCCGTTGGGGGGGCTGTATGGATGGGGAATGTGGCTGCTGTACTCTCTAGCCGTTCTCTGCTACAGCGCCGTCCTGTTTTCCAGTTCCTCTTTCCTGCTGGATTTCCTCGGAGCAGCTGTCACTCACTCAAAGCTGGTGACGTCTCTGCACTTCTTGACAGGTGCCTCACATTAAACGTGAACTCACTGCACTGTTAGTAACGTGGGAAAAGGATTCAGAAGTCGTCAATAATTGTCCATAAATTTAGTTGTATGTAAATTGTCCCATTAAGAATTATTTTATTTTTGATTGACAGAATTGTTTTCTGTTCCTGCTGAAAAAAACTGTTTTTTCATGCACTGGTCAGTTTTGAGGTCTATTTAGCTTCCGTAACATATCTCTTCTTTCAGACTAGTGGAAAGAAGACTTCTAAAACACGCATTTAAGTGTTCATTTTATTGCACTTTATCTATTTGCATCTGTACATTCAATTCCAGTACATATGCTTGAGTTTTTTTTTTTTTACATACAGCAAAGTTTACATATTCATTTTATTTACATATATATATATATGTGAGCCTGGAGCACAAAAGCAGTGTTAAGTCACTGGGGTATATTTGTAGCAATAGCCAACAATACATTGTATGGGTCAAAATTATGCATTTTTCTTTTATGCCAAAAATCATTAGGATATTAAGTAAAGATCATGTTCCATGAAGATATTTTGTACATTTCCTACCGTAAATATATCAAAACTTCATTTTTGATTAGTAATATGCGTGGCTAAGAACTTCATTTGGACAACTTTAAAGATGATTTTCTCAATATTTAGATTTTTTTGCACCCTCAGATTCCAGATTTTCAAATATTGTCCAATCCTAACAAACCATACATCAATGGAAAGATTATTTATTCAGCTTTCAGATGATGTATACATCTCAATTTTGAAAAATTGACCCTTATGGGGTCTTATGGTCTATGGTCACATATATTATCCACACTGATTTATATAACATTGTACTCCTAAAAACATACTGAAAATGTTTTTTTGTTTTTTTTCTGACTGTTGACAATAGTTTCTGATTTATGGAGTGATAAAAAAAGAGAAATCCAAAATATGACAACAAAATCAAACAAGAATTTAGAATCTGGCTTTTTCCAGTGGGAGTGTATGCAAATGAGTGCATATTTAATTAGATAAATAATTGTTTGCATATTTAAATGTACAATTTAAAAAAACTTGTAATACAAAACAATTGTTTTAATGCGCTGTCATTAATGAACTAGCTAAATATGGTGATATCTATTAGTTAAAATATTTTACCATCTTAACCTGTGATGTTTGGCGTTTTGTCAGCTGAACCCATTTGAGCAAAAATATTTACTTACAATATTTACAGTTCTTTGATGTTGTTTAATGATCACATGACATGCAGCTAAACAAAATATTGAATCTTTTTTAGTGTTTTATTTTGTTTGATTTATTCTTAAATGCAACATTTTAATTTAATATTTTTATGGTACATTTTCATGAATTCACAAACCTCATGCATTAATCAAAGACAACAGTTTTAAACATAGTCACATGAACTCGTTGTGTTGCATCTTTTCCAATTTTGTATAAAAATTTATTTTTTTGTGCAGTTAAACATCTTTACCATCTTAACCTGTGGCTTTAAATTCCCAAACATTGTTGCCAGCTGAACCCATTGGAGCGAAAATATTTACTGGAAGTCCCTCTGAGAATCAAAGTTAATGTTTCAATAATTGAGCAACGCTTTTGCACGTTTACAATTCTTTGATGTTGGTTAAAGGTCACATTGCATGCAGCTAAACAAAATATATTTTTTCTTAAGTGTTTTATTTGGATTGTTTTATTCTTAAATTATTTCTTTATTTAATTTAACATTTTTATGGCACACTTCACAACCCTCATGCATTAAACAAAGATAACAGTTTTAAACATTGTCACATGAACTCATGGTGTTCCATCATTTTTGTATAAAAATGTCTTTACTCTTGGTAGTTTGATCAAATAAGTCGGGAAACAGAAATACTGAGAGTCTTTTGATATTGCAAACAGCTCTAGTCTCTGGAATTACAATAATGAAGCAGTGGACAGAGAAGAGCATCATTTCTAGCCGGATGTGAACCTGATGTTTTACTAATGTGTGTTTTCTCACATTTCCCCGCAGCGTTCATCTGCGTGACGGTTGTGGGTGTGTGTGTGGCCTGTATGAGTGTGATTGAGCACAATCTGCAGCGAGGGAAGACGGAAAGCGGCCCTGCGCTCTGCATGTCTGCAGGAGAAAGCTTCTACATCGAGATGTTGGGCCTGCTCTTCTCCTTTATAGCGTGCACTTTGGCCCTCAAGGGTCATCCTGAACCCATCGGGCCCCGTGAGTACCTGAGCGTGGATGGAGAAGACAGTGATACAGAGCCTTTGATTGGTGGAGCTGAGAGGGAGGAGTGAACAGACAGAGTTATGCACTTCATTTCTAATGGCAGAAGAGCAAGAGCAAAGCTGAACAAGAGCTGATGTTAGATCAGGTGATCTCGGAGCACGTACAGAACGAATGAAATCCAGAATTTAAGAATCAGCTCCTTCTGGTTCATCAGTGAATTGATCACAGTATACAGGATCCCAACTGTCGAGGTTCTCTGAACAAACGTTCCTCCAGGAATGTTTGTTCGAAATTATCTAGTCTTTAATAATGCTCTCAAATCAAACGTTATTTATACATAATTTTCTGAAATGTTTGAGTTGGATGTTTTTTAAATGTTACTAATTGTTTCAGAACATTCCGAGAACATTCAAAAGTAACATTCCCGTAATGTTTGCGAAATTTTAAAACGGAATGTTCTTTTAAATGTTTGAATAACCAAGAAAAAAACATTTTAAAATTTGTAAAAACTGGACGTTTTAAATGTTCGGAAATAACATTACACTTAAAAGTAATTCAACAATCACAAAACAGTGAAAACATGTTTTTGGCCCTCAAGGGTCATCCTGAACCCATCGGGCCCCGTGAGTACCTGAGCGTGGATGGAGAAGACAGTGATACAGAGCCTTTGATTGGTGGAGCTGAGAGGGAGGAGTGAACAGACAGAGTTATGCACTTCATTTCTAATGGCAGAAGAGCAAGAGCAAAGCTGAACAAGAGCTGATGTTAGATCAGGTGATCTCGGAGCACGTACAGAACGAATGAAATCCAGAATTTAAGAATCAGCTCCTTCTGGTTCATCAGTGAATTGATCACAGTATACAGGATCCCAACTGTCGAGGTTCTCTGAACAAACGTTCCTCCAGGAATGTTTGTTCGAAATTATCTAGTCTTTAATAATGCTCTCAAATCAAACGTTATTTATACATAATTTTCTGAAATGTTTGAGTTGGATGTTTTTTAAATGTTACTAATTGTTTCAGAACATTCCGAGAACATTCAAAAGTAACATTCCCGTAATGTTTGCGAAATTTTAAAACGGAATGTTCTTTTAAATGTTTGAATAACCAAGAAAAAAACATTTTCAAATTTGTAAAAACTGGACGTTTTAAATGTTCGGAAATAACATTACACTTAAAAGTAATTCAGCAATCACAAAACAGTGAAAACATGTTTTTGTTAAAACATTAATTATGTCATTAATTCAGACTAATTGTGACTAGCCTATTTATTTGCTGATATGTAGAACTCATTTTTCAGAATTGATTTGAAATTAAATTGTTAAAGCACCACATTGTTTTGACTCTATATATAATTCTCAGGGATAAACTGGAGCATTCTGGGTTTTATAGCATAATAATCCATAAACTCAAATTTAATTTGGTGGGACTTTACAGTAAGATTCATGTTAATAATGAATGACATTCAGACATTTATAAGTGTGACTTAAGTGAAAAAAATATTTTTTCCCCAACTGCTGTATATGAATTAAATTCACATTTCTTCATTCTAAAAATATTAGTAACATCATCTAATCTTTCTTAAAATGGCCTAAATGTTGTGTGATGAGTGTATGTTTATGGGTCATTTGTAGTGAAAAATTAAATGTCTAATGAATTTCTCTAATTCTACTTAATTGGCAATTCTGTATCCTCAATTCTGTAGCCTCAATTCAAATTCAGTTCATATTCAGTATTCACCTCACTGATGTTGTGTTAGGAACCAACTCTAAACAAACTATCTCAGCCTTCATGTCAACATATTATAATGCATAATCATCTTTAATATTCAATTTATACATAAATAAGAATAATTCATATAATACTCAATGTAATCTAGTTGCCCAGGTTACAAACAACTACAGTGTGAACAGAAATTGGACTAAAACCCGATCAACATTCAGAGTCCACTTTCTAGTCCACATGCAATGTGAATGCAAACAGAACTGAATTCTTGACTCAAGTGTGAAAACTAAAATATTCAGGGCTGTTTTTATTTGATTGGCGATCAGTGGCGCAATGTCTGTCGAGAAACTAGTAAACAAATCAAACATCACTCCTCAACGTGCCTTGAGCTTCCTTTCTGTTCATACTGTATTTCTATTCCCTCTTTTAACCAGAATCATATTGCACCATATTTGATATTCTAGTATTTTACTGGAATTATGATGCCGTTCAGCCCAAAATGACAGTTCTGTCATCATTTGCTCAACCTCATGTTGTTCAGACCTGTATGACTTTCTTTCTCTCATTGATTATCAGTGAATAATAAACGTGGGTCTGTTCCACAGTTATTATAGTTAACTAACACTAAAATTAAGACCGTTAAAAAACATTTTGTTACTTGAAATGAAGGTTACAAGTAGCGGAAAATGTACAGAAAATTTCAGATAGTTTCCAAAAATCCCAGTAGCCTACATTTAAACATTTCTGGAAACGTTTCACTTTTTTTGCAACCATACTTGAAATAAAATAAACATGAACTGAACTGAAATAAAACATTAAAAGTGTAAACATGTTTTATTTCAGCAAGTTGCCAAGGCAACATTTCTTGTTTTTGTTCTCTTTTTCTAAAATAGCTAAAACTAAATAAACTAAAACTGATAAAATTTCATCAAAACTAGACTTTTGTAAAAAAAAATAAAAAAAAAATTGTAAAAATTGCAAAAGCATGCAACAAAATTACTAAAACCTTAACTAAAATTAAAGTGAAAACAAAGTATAAAAATTACAATCTAATTCAAAATATTAAACTATAGTAGTATAATGACGCTAAAATAACACTATACTGTTCACTTTTCACACAAAACAACTATCTTCATATAACTCAGTATAATTCACAACTCATACAGACTACTGATTATGAATGTTTAGATTAATTTTTGGACACTTTCTCGATCCTTTGTATGGCTTGAAAGTCAATAGGGTTTGAGCAGCATGAGAGAGAGTAAATGTAATTGATGTGCATCTGTAGTTAATCTGTAGTAGTGTAGTATTTCATTTGTCCTTATGAATATAATAACAGAGACATAGGCTACTAGGATTTTAAAGTATAAATACTAGTGCTGTCAAACGATTAATCGCATTCAAAATAAAAGTTTTTGTTCACGTAATATATGTGTGTGTGCTTTGTATATTTATTATGTATATATAAATACAAACACATGCATGTATATATTTAAGAAACGTAATGTTTATATATTAAATATATATATAATATAAATTATATGAATGTAAACGTACATGTTTTCAAAATATATACTGTATGTGTGTGCTTCTATATATACATAATAAATATACACAGTACACAAACTTATATTATGTAAACAAAATGTTTATTTTGGATGCGATTAATCGCGATTAATCATTTTAATAAATACACTGAGTCTAAGGAGGATTTATACAGTTTGTGTTTACGTTTATATTTGTGTGAAGCCATTTAATGCAATGTAAAAAAATGAATTTATGTTCCAAAGTTGATCTATCATCACACTCCTCAGTGATCAGATGCATCTCACTAAATGAACTCTGAATGCAGCAGTGCATCATGGGAAGCGGAGCTCCGCTGTGCCTTAATTTCTCAGCTCTCTCTCTAATTAGACTCCATCAAATTATATGAATGTAAACGTACATGTTTTCAAAATATATACTGTATGTGTGTGCTTCTATATATACATAATAAATATACACAGTACACAAACTTATATTATGTAAACAAAATGTTTATTTTGGATGCGATTAATCGCGATTAATCATTTTAATAAATACACTGAGTCTAAGGAGGATTTATACAGTTTGTGTTTACGTTTATATTTGTGTGAAGCCATTTAATGCAATGTAAAAAAATGAATTTATGTTCCAAAGTTGATCTATCATCACACTCCTCAGTGATCAGATGCATCTCACTAAATGAACTCTGAATGCAGCAGTGCATCATGGGAAGCGGAGCTCCGCTGTGCCTTAATTTCTCAGCTCTCTCTCTAATTAGACTCCATCCAGCACCTCGTTCTCCGTCACATGACACCAGCTTCTGCTCCAGTTGGATGGAGACCATCGCCATAGTAACCTTGAGAAGTTGTTGATGTCACCGATGATTTTGTGAATGGAGAGAAAGATTTGATGGGTTTGTTATCATGTGTTTTTCTGTTGTCTTCAGTCTAGTGTTTGTGAGTGTAAGTGTGAGTTGTGCATGTTAAACCACGATTAACACTAAACCATAGCTTGTGCTGTATGAGTGTTCATAGAGAAAAATGATGTGAAACTGAAGGAAACAGATATTTGCACTGACAGTGTATTATGAGTAAATGTATGTGCTGCTGAACAAGCATTGATCGTCTCAAATGTTTCATGTGAGTTTGTTTTTAAAGCTGTGCATGCATATATCATCAGCATTCATTCTGAGTTTGTTGTTTATGCCTGTTGGATTGAAGTTTACTGTTGCAAAAACAACACCGCAATCTCATTTTATTTGCTTTATTCTACTAATGGTAAAAACAGCAACACTTTACAGCAAGGTCTCATTTGTTAACATTAGTTAATGCATTGAGCTAATTATAAACATGTTTTATATCATTTATTCATCTTTTAGATAATAAAAATGCATTTGTTCATTGTTCATGTTAGTTCACAGTGCATTAAAGTAACATGCATTATTTTTATTAAAAAAAATATATTATTGAATGTAGAAATTAACATTTATTGTTAACAAATGAAACCACATACCTGAAAAGCAATACAGTTGCATGTCAATTTGTATGTTGGTGATATTTTTTACAGTTTCGTCTAATATTCTAGTAATCCTTGACTAGCTGGTTAAGGTGTGTTTAAGTAGAATTAGAGCTCAATTTAGACACTGTTAAAAAAAGAGAAAGAAAGAGGTTTGACAATTTTATTTAAAAAACATTTCATAATCGTCACATTAACAACTCGCATAATAAATATAAAATTTAAAAACCCAAATGTCCATCATAAACAATACACAAAACATCATTTACACACCACAGGCCATTGAGAACCATCTCATTATTTACTAGACTAAAGAAAGAAAAAGAAAATAATTTCTTCAGATAAATTCTAAGAAGATTTTGGTGAATGTTCCTAAGTGCAATTCATGAAAGTCTAATGATATTATTATTAAGAAGAGAGTGTATAATTTAAGACAAGTTGGAGGTAAATCTAATTTGAAGAGGTTATTACAATGATTTTTTTTTTTTTTTTGGTTTAGCCTTTCAAAAAATCTAGAGAAAAAAAGATAACATTCTTAAGAGATGTTTTTGTGAACACAAAAGACTTATCTTTATGCTTAACTTAGAAAATAAGACAATTGCAGTGTTATTCTTTGTTAGTGTTAAGAATTTTTTTTATTCGTGAATCCGGTCACTGGAGGATCTTTATAGTATGAACTGATTAATTGTTGGTTTCCTAGTTTAATAAACTCTTATAATCGCTTTATTACGCCCTCGCCGAGCAGAAGGGGGCGTGTCCTGTCGCGTCCAAAAGGGGCGTGGCGCAGGTGGGTGTGTCTCTCAGCTGATGTCTCTCAGCTTCATCTCCGTCGCGGGCGTCAGCGGCAGCGCATCTCGCGGCTTCACGCGTTCGTTTACGCCGCAGCAGCAGAGCAGCAGAAGCACAGACGGATCCGCGGCGAGACAGTGAGTATGTGAGACGCGGCGCGCTGGATGCTGCTGCTGCTGCTGTTGTTATGGAGGATGCGGATGCAGTGATGCATCATTTTGCATGAGCGCTAACACGCATTATGTAATGAGAGCGGATGCTTCGTCCTGTAGTCAGGTGAACGCTGGACCTCCATTGTGCTGCTGCATCCTCGTCTCAGCCTCTGTTAAATGGAGCGTTTTATGTTATGATAAAAGCAGCCTATTGAATGCATCCAAGCGTCTGCTGGTTAGTAGCATCACTAGGCCCGCATTCACTGCATTCACTGTCAGGTGAAGATGCTTTTTAGTGCATATTGTGATTCTGATGTCATCTGTTTGTGTGCAGGCCTCCATCTCACGCATCACTGTCATTTTCTCCAGTTTTGTGTTTTCTTGGAATTGCACTGCGGTGTGTGTGAGTGCGATGCATCAACACAGTGTGTCATTCTGCTGCACTGCATGTTTACATCCATGCACATGCGTGTATTTGCGTTGATGTTTGTTATGCAGTGATGAGGTTATGCTGTGAATCTGATCTTGCATTATTGATAGAGCAGCTGAGGGTGATGTAATTAGGATGGCAATCTCAAATGTGTGTTGGGATGTATGAAGCATGTGAGCGATGATGTAATGCCTGTGAGTGACTGACTGTGCTGGAGCGGGTAGTAGAGGCACGTGCCAGTGCTGATCTGATCCAGAGCTCTGCTGGACCAGTGATGCTACTGCACACCATCAGCAGCACTGCTCCAGCTGACGTCTCAGTGCGCTTGCATGGCTTTGGGAGAGAGTTTATACGAAAACGATCATAGGAGAGCATGCATGTCAATGTATTGTGCACCAAAACACAGTTATGCTTGACACACACCACGATAGTGTCTTGGAATTCTTCAAAGTGCCTCAGCTGGGTAAATATATGGAAATCATCCATGTGCATTAAAATGCTGTGATAAAGATCCAAGTGCATGAGACAAAAGAGCTGAGCAGTCATGTTTGTTTTTTATTTTTAATGTTGAATGTTGCTACAGTCTTACACTGTTCATTATACCGATGTATCGTAGCCTATGTTACCCTTTCAAAGAAGTACCATGGTATCAAGAGTCGGAAATCTTAATATGAACTCAAAACATTTCTTATCAGATAACCTGAGCTGCTTCACATTCATTTTATAGCTCTTATACTCTTAAAGGATGATAATTAGTGACTCCTTTGAGTCTATTGTTTCAGCTTTGGTCTTCTCCAGATGTTAACTGATGGACTGGAGTGCTGTGGATTATTGTGATGTTTTTATCAGCTGTTTGGACTCTCATTCTGACGGCACCCATTCACTGTAGACTCAATTAAATCTCAGAAATGAAAGAGCACCGTGTAATTTTTCCTCTAGGATTCTAGTGCAATTCATAAATGATTTCATGATTCACATGCAATTATAATGAATGTTCAGTTTGATTGACATAAGTGTGACATAAACTGCATTCACACTGCAAAAAATTGGATGTGTTTGCAATTCATTTTCACAAATGAAAGTGGCCACAATCAGAATTGTATTTTTTGCTGTTCACGCTGTCATTTAGAAACCGATCCGTCACTTGGAGTTGAATGTGAGCGCTGCCTTTGTTTGCAGGATTTACAATCAGAATCAGGTCAGATTTGCTCTGTGTTTGGTTAATGTTTAACTCCAGAGATCATCATAATCAGGGTACAGTTTCGCTGAAACAGATCCGCGTTGATGTTTACACACTTCACAGACACACATGCGCTTCATACGACTGTTACCTTTGAGAAGCTCCTCGCTCTTTTTCTTTCATTTGTTGGCATGAGAACTTGCAGTCAGTTTCTTTGATAAACGTTCAGCATGAGGAGCAAGCAGTTCTGCTTTTACAATTCTAGAGGGACGCACGTATGTTGTTTACTTTCTCTTGAGCTGTCAGCGTAATATCCGTTTATTCCACTTGGAATGTTTTTAACTGTGTTTTTGATACATGCTCGTCCACATTGGTTGCATTTTCTAGTAATGCTTTGTAGTAATGCTGTGAATGTCATTTATAAAGCAGCTTAGTTGCATTCCACTTCACTGCTTTATTGTTGTTGTTGTTTTTCTATGTAAACATGCGCTACATGGTTTGACTGCTGTACTTGTGTATTTTGCAGCACCTAGTGCACGACACAGCATTCTAAAAACATGTCACTCAAGTTAAAAGTTACATTTTTCAAAAACCTTACATTTTTTTACCCATTCCACTGCATTTTTAATGCAAAAACACATTCAATGGCCCCAGAGAGAGCAACTATTAGTTTACAGCAGATTTTCCCAAACTGGGGTTCACGAGTTGATGAAAAACCCCTTTTGGAACCTTTATTTTTAAGAGTATAATTAAATAAAGGTCAAACTCAAAATAAAACACTAAAAAATATTACATATTTGATTTTAAATAAATTAAAGTGAAAATAAATATTTTTTAAATAAGATACTATTAAAGGTTTTATTTGTTTACCTGAATGTCATGTGACCATTAAGCAGCATCAGATACCATCAACATGCAAATGTGTTCATAAATTAGTAAAATATTAACTTAAAATCTCAGGGGGACTTCAAGAATATATTTCAGCTCAGATGGCTTCAGCTGACAAAACAGTCAATCTGATTTTATAAGATCGCTACTAAGTAATAATTATGAGACATAAAGTAATAGTTATGACATACCAAACTATAATTTATATTTTATATAATTTGTTTACATGCATGTCATGTGACCATTACCTGATGTCAGAGAACTGGTTGAAAATTCAGCTCTAATGTGTTTGGCTTACAAAAAAAGTCTGGGAATTGCTGTTTTTCACGAGTCATAATTTAGTCACACTAAGTCATAACTTTATACTGTATAAATTATATTCTATCATTTGTATTCTAAGTCATAATAATATTTTATTTGTTTACATGTGATCATTAACCGGCATTAGAGAACCACGAACATGCCAATGTGTTGATGAATTATAGAAATATTAACTTCAAATCTCACAGGGACTTTAAGAACATGTTTAAGGTTAATGGGGTTCATCTAATAAAAATAATTGACAAAACCAGTCAATCTGATTCACTAAATCATGTGTTCAGCAACATTTGTTCCTTTTAAAGGGAAAGTTCATGCAAAAATTTAAATTCTGTCATCATTTTCTCACCCTGTATGAATTTCTGGGCCCCATTGACTTCCAAGTCATTGGAGCCAGGGGGCGGAGCCAGGGGGTGTGGCCAGCACTGACTTAAGCTTGGCACCCCACTCAAAACTACAGTTTTTGTCCCTTTTTGTCTTGCTTCAGTAGAACAACAATGAACTGCGGTCTGATGAGATGTTGTTAGAATATATGTCATTAAAACAAACTTTCCTGTCGCACACTCTTCAACTGTACGTGAATATAAGGCGCAGTCATGAAATTACCAAAAAGACGACTGAAGCTGCAAACTGTGCATGAATGTATGTATATAGCCTCTGATTAACATGGAAAAGATACCTTTTATCACGTGTCATTATGTCGCGTTGCATGTAGTTAGGACATGGTGTTACAGGTTTGGAATAACATGAGCAAATGATGACAGAATTTTCACTTACATTTACATTGTCACTTATCCAAAGCGACTTACAAATGAGGACAACGGAAGCAATCAAAATCAACAAGAGAGCAATGATATGCAAGTGCTATAACAAGTCTCAGCTTAACGCAGTACACATAGCAAGGTTTTTTTTTAATTATATAATAGATAAAAAGAATAGAAAAAGCTAGTGTTAGAGGTCTTTTTTGTTTTGTTTTTTTTTATATAGAAAACAAGCGGTTAGAAAACAAATAGAGTGCAAGTCTTAAAGGTCATGTTTTTTTTTTATAAAAAAAGAAAACAAATAGATAAAATAGAATTAGAATAGAGAGTGCTGGAGTTAGAGGGTCAAATAAAGATGGAAGATTTCTGCATGAACTGTACCTTTAAGAATTCTGTTATGTGGTATATTGTGAATAAGGCCACTAACGCAGTGTGTTGTGTTGCAGTGTGTGTGTGTGTGACCCGGCTCACTTCCCCTTCATGCCCGTGTGTGCTGGCGCTGTGGGCGGCGGAGTGAAGCGCTCGAGGCTCCTGGCATGGGCAGCGTAGGGAGCGGGGCCTCCAGTCAGCGGCCGATCACAATGCGTAGCGTGGGCACCCGCACCACCCCCAATGGCCCACTGGTGGCCGCACTGCCTCCCGCCTCGACCCGCCGGCGCCTCGATGACCGAAGCTTCAGCGCCGAGCGCATCCCCGGCCCCAGCACCAAAACCAAGGGCGTCTCCGCCGACGAGCACAGCTACAACGCCGAGAGGGATTTCCACGCTAACGCTCGCAACCACGCCAACGCCGAGCGCGCCCCGGCACACAACGCCAACCGCCAGCAGACGCTCAACGGAGAGAGGCTGGTGTCCAACGTGGTGTTTGCCAACGGGGCGCGGCGGGAAGGACACAGGCGCGGAGAGAGTCTGGACCTGTGCGGGAACAACATCGTGCTGAACAACGACAAGAACGGCAGCCATCAAGCTCCACCGCAGCCGCCGCCGCCGCCACACAAGGACAAGAGCAAAGCCAAACCCAATAATCACAACCCACCCAACATCCTGCCCGTCTCGGGAAAACTCGAGCATGCACAGGTACGCCAACAACGGCCGTGTTCAGGAGGAGATGCCAGTAGTGCATCGTTTAGTGTGTTTTGTAGTGGCACAATAAAGAACACAAGAAAATACCCAGCGAAGCATAACAAACCCTTTAGCCTCACAGCACATACATTTATGGAAGCCCTCCTTTAGTGACATAAAAAGTAGAAATTATGAGATAGCTACTAAATCATAATCGTGAGACAAAAAATCAAAATGATGACTTAATCGTAATGTTGAGATAAAAAGTCATAATTTTGCCAGTAAAAGTTGAAATTATGAGATACAGTAGCTACTAAATCATAATTATGAGATAAAAAATTATGAGATAGCTTCTAAACCATAATTGTGAGATAAGAAGTCAAGATTATGACATACTAAGTCAAAATTATGAGGTAAAAATTATTAGGACATACCAAGTCGTAATTATGAGATAAAAAGTCAAATTGGTGGTGGTTGAGGAGATTGCCCCTTCCATGTAAAGTGCTTTGAGTACCCAGAAAAGCGCTATATAAATGTAACAAATTATTATATTTAGGTCATTAAAAGTGGAAATTATGAGATACAGTAGCTACTAAATCATAATTATGAGATAAAAATTCATAATTAGGTAATTAAATGCTGAAATTATGAGATAGCTTTTAAACAACAATTGTGAGATAAGAAGTCAAAATTATGAGATAGAAATTAAATGTTAGGACATACCAAGTCGTAGTTATGAGATAAAAAGTCAAATTGGTGGTGGTTGAGGAGATTCAATGTAAAGCGCTTTGAGTACCCAGAAAAGTGCTATAAATGTAACGAATGATTATTATTATTTTTATTATTAAGCCATTACAAATTTTAATTATGAGATGGCTACTAAATCGTAATTTTGAGACAAGCACTCAAAATGATGACATATTACATAATAAGGATGAGATAAAAAGAAATAATTATGTCATTAAAAGTCAAAATTATGAGATTCAGTAGCTACTAAGAGATAAAAAAAATTATGACATACTAAGTCAAAATTATGCAATTAAACTAAATTAGGACATACAACGTCTTAATAATTATGAGATAAAAAGGCAAAATTATGACAAAAACTGACATAAGACATCTATGAGATAAAGAGTCATAATTATGACATGATTCTTGACTATTATAATTAAAATTGACTATCGTAATTTCAACTCTTTGTCATAATTACGAATTTTATCACAATTATGACAGTATCTCATAAATTTGTCTTTTTTTCATAATTCTGAATTTTATCCCATAATTATAACTTATCTCATAATTTCAACGTTTTTGGTAATAATTATGAATTTCATCGTAGTATCTTATAATTCTGACTTTTTATGTCATAATTATGATTTACTAAACCATGATTTCTTTTCTTATGTGGCAGAAAATAGCTACCATATAAATGTGGCTTACACTTTTGGGATTGAAACCAGGCCTTCTGATTTTTAAACAAGATGCAGAAGTTATAAGCAGAAGTAAGATTTGAGCTTCAGACTTGTTTCGTTAACCGAAATAAAGCTGAAATAAAATTGAAAACTTAATTTAAACTTAACTTAATTTTAAAAAGCTTAAATGAAAATTAGAAAGAAATGTTGAACTGCAACTAACTGAAATATGTATATGTGTATATATACAGTGGTGGCCAAAATTATTAGAACACTTGGCATATTTAAGAGGTTTCAGTTGTTTTTGTTGAATTGGAAATTGGAACATATAGTTATACTAAAATATAGTATATACTAAAATAACAAAAACTGAATTCTGTATTTGATGCCGCCATTCAGATGAATTTGTGTCTCTGCAGACCAATGACTCTCTGGTGCGTCCATCAGAATTCAAAATTAGGACACACCAAGTCATAATTATGAGATAAAAAGCCATAATTGTCATTAAAAGTTGAAAATATGAGATAGCTACTAAATCATAATTGTTAAATAAAAAGTCAAAACTATGACATAAGAAGTCAAAATTATGGGATTAAAAAAAATCTAAATTAGGACATACCAAATCATAATTATGAGATAAAAATTTATAATTATGCCATTAAAGTTTGAAATTATGAGATAGCTTTTGAACCATAATTATGATATAAAAAGTCACAATTATGACATACCAAGTCATAATTATGAGACTAAAAAGGCAAAATTATGACATATCGTCAATTTCAACTTTTTGTCATAATTATGAATTTTATCCCATACTTATAACTTATCTCATAATTTCAACTTTTTTGGTAATAGTTATGAATTTCATCTTAGTATCTTATAATTTTGGCTTTTTATGTCATGATTAAAATACTGGTTGAAAAACTTAATTTTAAAAAGCTTAAATGAAAATTAGAAAGAAATGTTGTCTTGCAACTAACTGAAATATGTATATGTGAGCCTGCAGCACAAAAGCAGTGTTAAGTCGCTGGGGTGTATTTGTAGCAATAGCCAACAATACATTGTATGGGTCACAATTATACATTTTTCTTTTATGCCAAAAATCATTAGGACATTAAGTAAAGATCATGTTCAATGAAGATATTTTGTAAATTTCCTACCGTAAATATATCAAAACTTAATTTTTGATTAGTAATATGCATTGCTAAGAACTTCATTTGAACAACTTTAAAGATGATTTTCTCAATATTTAGATTTTTTTGCACCCTCAGATTCCAGATTTTCAAATATTGTCCGATCCTAACAAACCATACATCAATGGAAAGCTTATTTATTCAGCTTTCAGATGATGCATACATCTCAATTTAAAAAAATTGACCCTTATGATTGGTTTTGTGCTCCAGGGTCACATATGTGTGTATATATACACGCAATAAAAATGACAAAATGACATAAAAATCAATGAATAAATACATCAATAAAATCTAAAAATAAAAGCTAATTAAAAATATCAACATATAGTTATACTAAAATATGGTCTTATTGAAGTAACAAAAAATGAATTCTGTGTTTGATGCCACCATTCAGATGAATTTGTGTCTCTGCAGACCAATGACTCTCTGGTGCGTCCATCAGCCTTCAAACCTGTGGTGCCCAAGAGCTTTCACTCCATGCAGAACCTGGTGTGTCCCCTCCAGACCAGCTCCGGGACGGCCGGTCCAGGCAGCGGCGGCGAGAAGGCCGGTCCGAACCAGGACAGTCCCGGGACACACGGCGGCGCGGGCCAGGCCGTACAGGGCAGTCTGTCGGACTCCGGGAGGAACTCTCTGACCAGTCTGCCCACGTACACGGGCTCCAGCCACGGCCCGCCGCCCGCGCTCGGACCCCTCAGTGCCTCCACCAGCCACATCAACCGGCTGGGCACCGTCGCCCTGGACAAGCCGGGCTACCAGAACGGCCTCAGCACCTCCGACAGCGGCCGCTCCTCCTCAGGCAAGAGCTCCTCCTCGTACCAGCGCCTCAGTCACCTGAGCGACGCTCCCGCGCCCCTGAGACCCTCTCCGTCCTCCGACGACGTGATCCAGGACCTGGAGGAGCGTCTGTGGGAGAGAGAGCAAGAAGTAAGTGAGGTGACAGAACTTTGTAAATTCATTAGCGTTGTGTATGTGTCATTTGATGTTCTGAACCGTGGTGCGTTTTTTCATTGAATCTAATTGGCAAGTCTCTCTTCGTTTTGTTTACTATTTATTATTATTTTTAGTTATGTATTTTATTTATTTATTTATTTAGTCACTTTGTATCTGGCATATGACTATATGTAAATGTGATGTACTCGCTGAGGCATAATTTTACCATGTGCCACCTGCAAAAGTGCATTTGTCACCATGTTTTGTACTAGAAACTGTTTATAATTGTTGACAAATTCAATATTTCAAAATTTTAAATCTTCATTCCTCTTTTTATTTATTTAGTTTTTCCATACAACATTGGATATTTTTTAAATGCAATTTTTGCATTTTTTTTCTTTAACTTTTCATACTCCATTAGATAATTTTTTATTAATATGAAAATTTCTTTCATTTTGCATACACCATTGGATATTTTTTTATTATTAGATTTTTTTTCTTTAGTTTTGCATAAACAGTGGATTTTTTTTACATACACCATTGGATATTTTTTTATTTTATTTGTATTTATTTTTTTATTTTTTTAAATGTCTTCAATTTTGCACATACACCATTGGATATATATATTTTTTTTATTTAATTTGGCATACAACATTGAATTTTTTTCCAAAATAATCTTTAATTTTGCATACATTATCGTATATTTTTAATTATTACTATTTTTTATAATTTTGCATGCACCACTGGATATTTTTTATAATTATTATTATTCACAATTTTGCATATGCCATTGGATATTTATTTATTTTTATTTATATATTTTTGCTTACACCATTGTTAATGCCTATTGAATTGCATTCATAACAGACCTGCTCAAAAGAGCAAAAGTAAGTCAGCGAGTTTCACTAATCATAAATAGAACATTTTCACCTGGAAAGGTCCTTTGGTTTAGTGGAAATGTTGTTTGATTATAAATAGAACAACCATTTTTATGGTTAACAAGGTTTTAGTCCGTTTTTATCGTTCCAAGAAGTAGCATCAACCGCCAGTAAGGCCAGAAACATTCTCTACGCAAGTATGCAAATGCAAACACACGATTCTGAGGTACATACATGCTTTCTACAGTACATGCATTAGGTTATTATTATTAGATTTTCTTCAGATGTGCTGTTATTCATATAGCTAGACATAGAAGAAGTTTATGCAAAGTTGCATGACGTGAGAATGCAACAACGCATGAAATCAAGCTTGCATTGTTTGAGACTGTGTTTCGCGTGTTTCGGCCGTGCTGCCCTCCTCACAGGTGATTCACATGAGACGTAACCTGGACCAGAGTGAGGCGGCTATCGTGCAGGTGTTCGAGGACAAGCAGCGCGTGTGGGAGCGTGAGATGGAGGAGCTGAGGCAGAACTACGCCGGGCGTCTGCAGCAGGTGACCCGACGGGCCCAGCGCACACAGCAGGCCCTGCAGGCGCAGATCGCCCGTCTGCAGCAGGACAAGCGGCGGCTGCAGGACGAGATGACGCTGCTGCTCGTTCAGAGAGAGGAGCTGGAGAAGAAGTGCTTGGACTTCAGGAAGGAGCAGGCCGATATCCTGCCCAGACTGGAGGAGACCAAGTGGGAGGTGAGAGAGACTCGTAGTTCGTTTTGAGACTAACATCTGTAGCCTAATGCACATCCACTGCAGAAAGTGCTGTTCTCAGCACATCTAAACATCCTTAAATCAACCAAGTCATAATTATGAGATAAAAACCCATAATTGTCATTAAAAGTTGAAAATATGAGATAGCTACTAAACCATAATTATGAGATAAAAAGTCAAAATTAGGACATACTAAGTCAAAATGATGAGATTTAAAAAATCTAAATTAGGACATACCAAATCATAATTATGAGATAAAAAGTTATAATTATGCCATTAAAGTTCGAAATTACGAGATAGCTACTAAACCATAATTATGAGATAAAAAGTCAAAATTAGGACATACTAAGTCAAAATGATGAGATTTAAAAAATCTAAATTAGGACATACCAAATCATAATTATGAGATAAAAAGTTATAATTATGCCATTAAAGTTCGAAATTACGAGATAGCTACTAAACCATAATTATGAGATAAAAAGTCAAAATTAGGACATACTAAATCAAAATTATGAGATTTAAAAAAATCAAAATTAGGACATACCAAATCATAATTATGAGATAAAAAGCCATAATTGTCATTAAAAGTTGAAAATATGAGATAGCTACTAAACCATAATTATGAGATAAAAAGTCAAAATTAGGACATACTAAATCAAAATTATGAGATTTAAAAAATCTAAATTAGGACATACCAAATCATAATTATGAGATAAAAAGTTATAATTATGCCATTAAAGTTTGAAATTACAAGATAGCTACTAAATCATAATTATGAAATAAAAAGTCAAAACTATGGCATACCAAGTCAAAATTATGAGATTAAAAAATTCTAAATTAGGACATGCCAAGTCATAATTAAAAAAGATAAATCTACTTGAGATGCAAAATGACTTCAAAATGAAGTGAGAAAAATCAACTTAATTCAAAGGGAAAACAAGCTTATTTTTCTGACCTCATTGACAGATAATTTTGTTTTTAAAGTGTAAATCTCACTTTATTTTGTAGCATTTAAAAATTACATTCTTTTTTACAATTATTTCTTTTCCTGGAAGATGGACTAAATCTATGTCTTTTGTAAAAATACTCTCTAGAGTAAGAAGACGACCTTAAAAAATGTATCAGTGATTTTATGAAGTCTTATATAACTTCATAAAGTATATATATTAAATATGTATGTTCAAAAATTCACTGTTGAAATATAGGGTTAGGTTTATGGTTATATTATATATATTATATATAGGGATATATATATATATATATATATATTTATTTTTATTTTTTTTATATATTAATATTATAAAATATTTTTTGTGGAAACTATTATACATTTTTCAGGATTCTTTGGTTAAAAAAAGGTCAAAAGGGCAGCATTTTTTTGAAATAGAAAATCTTTTGTAACATAAATTTATAAATGTCTTTACAGTTCATAATTGTCATTAAAAGTTGAAAATATGAGATAGCTACTAAACCATAATTATGAGATAAAAAGTCAAAATTAGGACATACTAAATCAAAATTATGAGATTTAAAAAATCTAAATTAGGACATACCAAATCATAATTATGAGATAAAAAGTTATAATTATGCCATTAAAGTTTGAAATTACAAGATAGCTACTAAATCATAATTATGAAATAAAAAGTCAAAACTATGGCATACCAAGTCAAAATTATGAGATTAAAAAATTCTAAATTAGGACATGCCAAGTCATAATTAAAAAAGATAAATCTACTTGAGATGCAAAATGACTTCAAAATGAAGTGAGAAAAATCAACTTAATTCAAAGGGAAAACAAGCTTATTTTTCTGACCTCATTGACAGATAATTTTGTTTTTAAAGTGTAAATCTCACTTTATTTTGTAGCATTTAAAAATTACATTCTTTTTTACAATTATTTCTTTTCCTGGAAGATGGACTAAATCTATGTCTTTTGTAAAAATACTCTCTAGAGTAAGAAGACGACCTTAAAAAATGTATCAGTGATTTTATGAAGTCTTATATAACTTCATAAAGTATATATATTAAATATGTATGTTCAAAAATTCACTGTTGAAATATAGGGTTAGGTTTATGGTTATATTATATATATTA